AACAACAACTCATCTTGACAATAGATATTCTTTCTTTTACTCCTGAAACACTTTTCCCCAACATGACTTTCAGGTTATAATCTTTTCTGTCTCTCTCTCTGCACCCTTGCTCCCCTCCTTTACAATTTTGGGTCCTCTCCTCAGTCTCCTTTGTTAAATGCTCTTCCTTTTAGATAATGGAACATCCCAAGCTTTCCCAAAGGGAGCTTTTCTCTCTTCCACACATAACTTTAAATTTTAATTTTACACATAATTTAAATTACGGAAGGGAGCACTGGTGGCCTTGTGGCAAGAAGCTGTGCTATTATACCATAAGTGCGCAGTTCGAATCCACCCTCTGCTCCACGGGAGAAGGATGGGCAATATCCTTCCTTGCAGTTAACTACTTCTGAAAACTCATCAGAGAGTCAGCTCAACTGGGTCAGTTCCAATTCAATGGTACACAGCAACAACAACAACAACTTTAAGTTAATGTAAGCCATTTAATTCCCACACTAATATTTTTAAAAATGCAATATTATATTTTTTAGGCAAGAGAATTGTGGCCTAAGAGAGGAAGTATTTCAAGACCACAAGTGACCACTTGTCCAAGTGATGTGACTGTCCTTGAAAGCAAGTGGTTTTGAATCTAAGGTCCAAGTCCTTTATCAACTGTGTTGTCAGTGATTTTCTATTTGTCATATGTGGGATTCGTAAGGGGACCCTGTTCATAGTCCATAAAGTGGTGTGCTGATAACACAAAGGCCATTAATGCAGAGTCATCTCTCTGGTGTTCAAATCCAGTAGAACCCCTGGGGGAGAAAACCTGCTGAAGGGTCAACTATGAGTCAATTCCAAGCAAAAAACAATGAGTTTAAGTTTTGAGGAACTTGTAATATTTTCAATGAAAAACTTACCATTTGGAGTAAAGATCAATCAAAGTAAGTTCAACAGTAATAGCTAATATCTATCCTTCAAGATTTCTTCCTAACTTTTCCTCTTATTTTTGATTGATACTGGTTATTGTTGATTGCCACCAAGTTGAGTATGACTCATAGTGACCGTAAGAACAAAAGGCTTGAAGCCTTTCTGTAACTATTGTTGTTTCTCCAAGTTCATAGTTTCCAGAGGCATGTGGTTTAGGAAGTGGATGCCACTCCTGTTTCCAAACTTGTCTTAAAATGGGAGCGCCACCAAACACTGTCCACCATGGGTAGCTAATATGGTACTTGACCCCTCAATGGCACAAGGTTCAGCCTTACAGTAAACCCAGATTACTTCAGTACCACATATTGACAAAAGAGTGCTGTACAACTTAGAAAAATGTTCCTCCAAAATAAAACAACACACGGGCTGCAGGCCTGAGGGCCCAACCGACTTTTAAATACCAGGGTGTTCGTGTTCTCTCTCTCTCTCCCCCCCTCCCCTCCCTCCCTCCCTCCTTCCCTCTCTCTCCCTCTTCCTGTATCTATCTATCTATCTATCTATCTATCTATCTATCTATCTATCTATCTATCTATCTATCTATCTATCTATCTATCTATCTATCTATCATCTATCACCAAAAGGCCTGAAGCTTTTCTACAACTATTGTCATTTCTTCAAGTTCATAGAGTTTCCAGAGGCTTGTAGTTTAGGAAGTGGATACAACTCCTGCTTCCAAACCTGAATCAATCTGGGAACTCCATCAAACACTGCCCATAAGAGGCAGCCATTATGGTGTTTGACACACCTATAATACAGTTCTTCAACATTACAGCAACTCCAAGTTACTTTAGTACAGCAAATAGACTGACCACTGCTGTACCTCTTAAAAGAATGTTCATCCCAAGTACTTTTCTTTCATGACCTCTGTCAAAATGGAGACAAAGGAGGATATTTTTGTAAGGTAGATCCAAGTGATAGAACCTCGTGATAATGATAAAAACTAGTGGTGCATGAGGTTGACGTTTTGCTTCCTGGGTGTCTCCTACTATTTCTCTAACTGTTACAGTTGGCCAATCAGAATGAGCTCGTAGCTGGCCTTCTTTGAGTGTCAGAGGTTCTAACTGTCACTGCGGGCCAGTCAGAATGAGCTCATAGCTGGCCTTCCTTTGAGCATCTGAGATTCTAACTGGGTCACTGCTGGCCAGTCAGAACGTGCTCGTAGCTGGCCTTCCATTGAGCATCTGAGGTTCTAACTGGCATGGGGAGAGGAGATTGCCGTCTTTTTCTGTCAGGGTCACTGGTGGATTCAAACTGATAGCAAGATGTGGCTTTTGGGTTAACAATGCAACCCTCCTTTGGATCAGGCCACCAGAATGTTCTGTTTCTCTACTTAGATTAAATATGGTAGGGAAAATACTTAACTTCTTAATAGCTGTGAGACTGTTCCATATGAAACGGCTTTATTTCCAATTGTATTTAATTTCTTTTCCCATAAAACTGAAAGTATACAGAATTGTCTTAAATTGAGATAGCCTAAAATAGTCCTCTCTGCTTTCAGCCTGGATCCATCTAACATCAACTGTGATATCCCTGGTGCTACAACCTCTTCTAAACCCAGCTTGAACTTTTGGCAGTTCTTTGTCAGTGTGTTGTTTTAGCCATTTTTTGGATATTTTGCTTGCATGTGATATTAATAATATTGTTCAATAATTTCTGCATTCTATTGGATCACTTTTCTTGGAAATAGAATAAACATGGATCTCTTCCAATCAATTGGCCTGGATTTACTAGCACAGACTGGAAAGCATATCCAAGGCTGTATCTGTTAGTTGAAATGTGTGAATTGATAATTCTATTGATTCCTGGGGCCTTATTTATTTTTTTTTTTTTGCCAGTGTCTTTAGTGCCACTTAGATGTCTTCTTTTATTACCATTGACTCTTGTTTGCATATTATTTTCTGAAATTTTTCATTGTCAACCAATTATTTTTGGTTGTGACTCTGTATATTCATTCCATCTTCTTATGATACTTTCTAGATTATTCAAGATTTTGCCCATAGTGTCTGGAGGCTTGAATTTGTTCTTCACTTCTTTCAATGTTAGAAATGCTCAGCAAAATCTTTCCTTTTTGTTCAGATGCATAATGGCTGAAAGAAAGATGACAAAGCATCATCTCACATATTTTGGGCATGTTGCTAGGAGTGGCTATTCTTTGGACAGGGTTATCATACTTGGAAAGGTCAGAGAAAGAGAGGGCTACCCTCAAAGTAACTCATGGACACAGTGACTGCAGCAAGGAGCTTGAGTGTGTCAGGAATGATGCAGACGACATAGGACAGCATCCAGATCTATTGTTAGCAGGACTGCCAAGCGTTGTATGCAACAGCACTTAACACAATACAGAAAGATGGTCTATCTTCATTACATTTTTCTTCTTAATGATGACTTTTGTTTGTTTGCTGAGTCATGAAGAACCCTATTTCTTCCCTACTTGCTCCTTCAAAATTGAATGTTGCTAGCAAGAACTATCTGTAAACTTGAAAGATTTAAATGCTTTTTACCTTTTGTTGTTGTTATGTGCTGTCAAGTTGAGCACATAGTGACCCTATGAACAGAAGATCTGAATCCTGTTCCATCCTGCACCATCCTCACACTTCCTGACACACAAGAGCCCATGGCAGCAGTCACTGTGTCAGTCCACCTGGTTGAGGGTCTTCCTCTCCTTCACTGACCCTCCACCCTTCCCAACATTATGTCCTTCTCCAAGGGACAGTCCCTTCTAGCAGCATGCCCAGAGTATGTGAGGTGAAGCCTCCTCATTCTTGCCTCCAAAAAGCATTCCATCTGCACCCTCTTCAGGACATATCTGTTTCTTTCAGCAGTCCATGGAATGCTCAGTGCTCTTGTTCAACATCACAGCTCAAAGATGTTAATTCTTCCCTTCCCCCTTCCCAGGAGCATGTTTCTTGTGTTTGAGATGATACATCAGGTGCTCTCTGAGCTGCAAAGGGTAAAAGGAAATCCTCTCCTTACAAACTGACAAAGGTCAAAGGTAAAACATTTTCACAACAGCATGTACCACAAACTCAGAAATAGATCTGGGTTTAATACAAATGACGTAATTTCCTATTAATCTACAGCTACTCTTTTAACTTCATACAGATAATGAGTTAGGCTAAAATGCACTATAATATTTGGTAGACTTCAGGACCAGTATCCTTAGTGCATCAAAAAATACATTTTGATATCCCAAAGAAGCAAGACTCGCAAGTAGACGTTTTAAACATAACTAATCTACAGCTACAAAGTTCTACTCTTGATAACATTTACCTTTTTAGGGACTCTCCCAGTCTGCAAAGGTTAAAAGCAGAGAGTAGACTCAGTATAACATATACACAGAAGTCCGTATTGTAAAGGCTATAAAGACCTGCAGCACAGTGCAAAGATGCCTTCTGCTCCTTCACACTGCATACAAATGAAGTGAATTATGTGGCGTATCTCTTGGTCCACTGTCTGGCTGTCCTGTCATGTTCTGCTCTGTTGGTCAAATACTGAGTGGCTATGCTTCCAACCAGAGGATCTGCCGGGTTGCAGTCTGTCAAAAGGGAACAAATTGACAGCAAAACCTTTGATGTAGTCAAAGCAGGACTCCAGTTATCTTTAAGGATGTCCAGACAGATGGCTACCTGACTGTTGATGTTGCAATGATAGATTCTGGTGCGGAAAGTAACCTTTGGTGGCTTAAATGGATAATCTGATGAATATGTGATATCCAGAAAAAACACACCACCTTTGTATACAGAACCTGGTGGGCCAAGTATAGTTGATCTCCATTCATAAATGGTATCTCCTTTACGCCAGGCACTGCAGTTAGGAGGAGGATCAAGAGTTATTTGAGCCAGCTCCTTCTGAATTCTTTTAGCACGAGCGGATAACTTAGCAGTGGTTTTGCTAGAGAGTTCGGTGTTTTTCTTCTGCTGGGTGGCAAAGGGCTTTCGTTCTTCTTGTTCCTCAGTCTCTGGAGCGGCTGGGTCTCGCTGGTCTGCATCTGAACCACCACTGCTGGTGCTGGACCTCTCATCATCGGACCTTTGCCGATCACTGGACACCTTGGTGAAGTTATTTCTCAGAAAACTTCTGCAAAGCTCTCAGTGCCACCAAGGTTCCTCCCACAATTTTTACACTGTAGACCGACATTTTGTCCAAAATAACGAGGTTTGGGGGGGGGGGGGGGGGATTCCAGAGGAAAACAAACAAAGCCCCATGAAGTACAACAAATTTCCGAGCCAGCGGAGGCAAGGCGAACCGCAGTCAGCGATGTTAATTCTTTTTCTGTCATCCTTATTCATTGTTCAAGTCTTAGATGCATAGCAAGTAATCAGAAAGACTATGGCTTGGATCAGACACACCCTAGTCCTCAAACTGAGCTCATTACCCCTTAATAATTTGTAGAAGTACTGAACAGCAGATTTTTCCCAGTGCAATGCATCTCCTTATTTCATGACTGCTGATACCAAAGATGCTAAATTTTTTAATTACTTTTTAATTAATAAATTATTTTTAAAATTAATTTTTCTTTTTAGTTTAGACTTTTTCTTTAAAAAAATCAACAACTACTGATTCTCTAATTCTCTCTTTGTGTACATATATTAGTATTATCTTTCTCATCCTTTAGGTCTTGAGAATAAAAAATGCGAAGATTTAGTGACAGTTTGTTGGAAATGAAGCAGCTCTGGTGGTCTACTAATGAGGAATTATGTGGCCACGCCGAAGTCAGGTGGTTCGAATCCACCAGCTGCTCCGAGGGAGAAGGCTGATCGATCTCCTGTGTGATTTGCAGTCTCTGTAAACAGGCCGGAAGGTCAACTACGGATCAGTTTTGACTCGTCAACAGTGAGGTGTTGTTCATTGGAAATGCAGCATTTTCATTCTAAAATGGTTTTTGAATTGTTGAAAACTCAGTCTTGATAAATTTATATTGTCTTACAAGTTTTCTACAAACTGTTCATTTCATATAATCTGACATCATAAATAGATCTTCCACAGAGCAAATGTCTACCTTTTGTACTTGGCATGTAGCACCTTATTGTATCTGGTGTTACTTCTATGAATAGCTCATGATAATTAGTTTTTGGGCGAGATGAAATCGTACGGGAGCATGGAAGAAAGGACACCAGTGAATGTTGGCTCTGGTGGCTGTGGTTTGGGTGATAATGGGACAAATCTGACTTGTAGAAACATCATGTACAACAGAATGAGACAAAGCCTGGTCATGTCTTGTCGTCACAGCCACGGATGATCGAGCTCATTGTCGTTCCACTGTGTTGACTCATCTCATCGAAGGTCTTCCTCCTTTACGAATCACAGCACCTTCTCCAAACCTGGTCCTTCCCGCTACATGTCCAAACTAACTGACCGAAAATTAAAAAACACCAAATGCATGACATCACAAAATCTGATGTCAAAATCTTGCCATCACATCTAATGAACAATCTAGCTGAACCTTTTCCAAACAGATGGGTTCAGTCCTCTGACAGTCCATGATGGTTCTCATGTCCTGCACCAACACCCTGAGTTAAAAGCAACACTATTTCTCTCTTATGTGTCATAGTGTCTCTGTAGATTGTTGATAACTTCAAATAGTTTTCTCTAACCTTCATCAGGAGAAAACTTGAGAATTCGTGAATGATTTTTCACCTTTCATGTGTTTATATACTGGTTGCAGACTATGTAGTTGTTGTTGTTTGTTGTGGAGTGAGAACATACTCACAGCTGGTCCTCCAGATTGTCAGAGGCAGTGAATCGAAGGGTAGGAGATTGCCAAGCCTTCTCGTGAGGAGCAGCTGGTGGGTTTGAACTGTCTGCCTTTGATATAGCAGAGTTGCTTCTTACCTCTAAGCCAATTAAGATTATGGGAACTCTGGTGGCCTACATGGTAAAAAGTTGTGCTGACGACCCTAGAGTATACAGTTCAAATCTGCCAGCTGCTCCAGGGTAAAAAGACGAACGATTTTTTCCCCACGAAGTTTCAAAGCTTCTGAAAACCCACTGGAAGGTCAGCGATGAGGCAGTGCTGACTGAATGACGTACAGCAACAATAATACAAAATTACTTTTATTCCTTTTCAATTCAGATTATTGGAGTTGACACAAAGGACATATTAATAATGTAGATTTAGTAAGTTTACCATTTTTAGGAGGTGATGCACAGTTCTAAAGAATAAAATAACTCAAGATTGAAAAATCTGCAGTGACATAAACACTTCCCACTTTCATATTTATTGTATTAATCCATGGGCATAAAGAAAAGTTGAGATGTTGCCACATGAATATTCGTTAATATGAAATATGATGTCAAGGAATCATGTTATTTATTGAAAGAAAATTATCACAAATGCAAAACAGATTCTTTTTTATACTGCTTATTTTCTCTGGAGAATAATTCATGGATTAAGCAATATTTACCACTTGGAAATGGTTAGCAAAATGTTAGCCCTATCACTGAAACAACTGAAAATGAAAATGGTCTTGTAAAAATCTTCTAACAGCTCGCCGTATCTTTGACCACCAATTAGCCAGTGCTACCATGCATGAATGTCTCCATTCTCCAGTCAAATCCCTGGAAATGTACTCAGCTGGTAACTAGTTTTTATTTATTGAGCAGTTAGTATGTGCCAGGGTTAAGACATACATTAGTAATCATGAGTAAATTTCTGAATATATGAGTTTTAACATTTTTCCACATGAAAAGCTAAAAAAACCAACTAGAGTAAGCATAATTCTTCCTTCATTTATTCTCTTGAAAAATCAGAAAATTTGGCAAAAATGGGCCTTCTTCAGTGTGGATTGCACCTCAAGGTAAAGAGGACAAAGATCTTCACAATTGACCTGGGGCTGCAGGTACAGCAGATGTTAGGAGACTGGCACAAGCCAGGTTATGACAGCAAGCTCACGCATAGCAGATGTTAGGAGACTGGCACAGACGGGGTCCTAATAGCAGGCGAAGGTACGCACAGGTCAGGAGACTGGCACAGGATGGGCTGTGACAGCAGGCTCAGGTACGCACAGGCTAGGAGATTGGCACTAGGTCAGCTGAGTGTCATTCTGTTGCACTTGGGTAGCCTTGAGTCGGAACAACCTCAAAGGCATTGAACAACAGCAGCGTTCTCACAGCTACAAATTGTCTGAACATGAGTGGTAATTTTGCCTTTGCTGTTGTTGTTACCTTAGAGTCAGGACCGACCGCTGCTGACACTTTGGTGGCTTTTCAGAGGCAGTCAATCACACGGGAGGAGATTGCCCATCTTTCCCCCCACAGAACAGCTGGTGGCCTCGAACTGAGTGCCTTTGGGATTGTAGCTCAGCTTCTTGCTACTAGGCCACTCAGAAGTGACCCTTGGTTGATCGTCCAGTGGGAATTTGGAGGCAGTGGTTCGTGCAGGAGGAGATTGCCAGTCTTTTGCCTGCAGAACTGCTAGTGGATTTGAACCATGTACCTTAGGGTGGCAGTGCAGCACCTTTACCACTTGACAACCAGAGCTCGCTTATGAACCCAATATCTGTTTGATCCTTTGGATAACTTAAAGGCAGCCTTGTTAATAAATGTTTACTCAGTCTCTCTCTCTCCCTCTCTCTCTCTCTCCGTCTCTCTCTCTCTCTCTCTTTCTCTCTCTCTTCACACACACACACACACACACACACACACACACCAAAATGAAGAATCCTGAGTATCCCAGGGATTGTCAAAAGAACAAACAGATACAGAGAAGGTGTAGCCAGAGTACTCCTTGGCGGCAAAGATGATGACACTTCTTCTCACACAGGAGAGGATTTGAACTGCATGCCTTCTGGGTTGACAGTGTAGCTCCTTACCACTGGGCCACCAGAACTCCCTATAGTGTTTCATGTTGTTGTTGTTTTGTACCACTCATAGCAACCGTATGTACAACAGCTCTGAAGCCTGCCTTATCCTGAGCCAGTACTGTGCCAATCCACCTCGTCTGGGGTCTTCTCCTCCTGCGCTGCCCCTCCACCCTTCCAAATATGATGTCCTTTTCCGAGAACTGGTGGTCTCTCCTGACCACGTGCGCAAGGTGCGTGAGATGGAGCTTCCAAATCCTTGCTCCCAGGGATCCACTTGGTTTCGCCCTCTCCCACATAATCTGTTTGTTCTCTTGTTGATCTGTGGTATGCTCTTCTCCAGACAACTCAAAGGCACCACTTCTTCTTCTGTCTTCCTCGGTTAGTTTAGTGTAGTGAACTATCCTTCCATAGCTGAGTATGGTGAACTGGAATACTAAATTCTGAACTCACCGGAGTCCTGCTCTGGCATGTACTGAGATAATAAGACATGACCTTAAATCTGTAATTGGACTAATGTCTCTGACAGTTTGAATCCAGTAGCAGCTAATGAGGGATTAATAAGTAAGATTTCCTTTTACTCGGATCCACAGTCAACATCCATGGTACCAGCAGTAAAGAAATTTAAAGTTGTATGGAATTAAAAAAAAAAATCTGTTTACAAGAACATCTCCAAAATTTTGAAGAGCAATGGTGTCAATTTGACGACTAAGGTGAACATGATCCAAGCCATGATCAATTCAACTACTTGTTCTACATTTAAAAGGTCAACAGTGAATAAGGATGGCCGAAGAACGGATCCTGTTGAGTTGTGGTGTTGTAGAAGAGTACCGAGTATGTCATGGATTGCAAAGAAAACAAAAATGTCTCGGAGAAAGTGCACACTCTGTTATAATACTTTGCCTGGTCTTCTCAAGCGGCTTGGAGTCAAGGATTCTGAGGCTTCGTCTGACATACTTTGAACATGTTGCAAGGAGGGACCTGTCCTTGGAGAGGGACATCATGCTTGGAAGGGTGGAGGGACAGTGAAGGAGGGGAAGACCCTCGATGAAATGGATTGACTCGGTGACTGGGGAAATGGAGGTAGGTGTGTCAGAAGTAATAAGGTTGGCACAGGCTAGAGCAGGGTTCAGGGCTGTTGTACATAGCGTCACTATGAGTCTCAAGCAACTCAACAGCACATAACAATAATAATAACAGACACTTCTTGGAGGCAAGGATGGTGAAGCTTCAGCTCACATACTTTGGAC